CCCCCCCCCCCCCCAAAAAAAAAAAAAAAAGAAAAAAAATCCCAGCATTGTATTTGTTCGAAACTAGGTTCTGAAGAGACTTCTGGGTTGGAGTCATAAATAGAAGTGAAATTTGCACTGAATAGGACTAAAACATAAGTCATTTCTCGATGTAGGATTTAAACTTTTTTATTCCCTAAATAGGACTTAATAATGACTAGTGAGAAGAATAATATCCAAGTGCTGCTGAATATTTAGTTGAATAATGACTAATTACTTGGTGTTTGTTTCCTCAATAATAATGATCACTGTTTTTTCTTTTTTATACAGTGTTTTTGCTCTTATTGAAATATCTTTTGGAGCACATGTGCTTCAATTGGATACCTTTTGCATTCTATAATTTCTCATTTTTTTACTTCATTAGAGCGAATTAGAAGTGAATTGATTAAATTTGTGAAGGGCTATGGATGTAGAGTAGAAATTCCTTCTTAATTTGATGATTGATATCTATGGTGTGTCATTAAATTTTAAGATTTCACTCTTTCAAGCATAGCATCATACTCAGTATATCACAGCTACTGCACTACCATCTTCTTTATGATGCATTTACATTGACCATACCCCCCCCCCCACCCCACAAAAAAACTTGAGTATTTTCAGATACACGGGTTTCGACTATTTTCATATATCTATTGTAGTATATTATTGGTATGGTTCTTACCAAAGCAATATTATTATTTAAAAAAAAACATGTCAGATTTTATTTTTTTTCTTTTTAGCATAGCATTATGTGTCATGGGTACAGCATTAAATACCTATATTTGATGCATTTACGTTGAGCATAGCTCACCCCACAGGTGTTGTGTGTTTTCAGATTTTCATTTGTCTATATAATTCAAATTGCAAGTGTGCAACATGTTGATGTGATAGTGCATCGTAGAAATTGAAGACAAATAAGAAAGTATGGCTAAGGGCACTGGAAATAGGTATGAGGTCACGGGGCTTCAAATCGAGGCTTCAAAGTTTCTTTTTCTGTCACGTCAGTATTAACTTACTTCATAGATTCACTGGAAATGAGTTTGAAGCATCGAGGCTTCAAATTGGGGCTTCAAACCTTCATTTTTTACATTTTAAATAAACATCTTCTAAAACTAAATTAATAAAATTTAATTGTCTCATTATTTAACTAAATTGAAACGAGAATAATTAAAAAAAATTACATTCATTAAATTAAAAAAAATTAAAACAGCAGTCAATTATAAAATTACATTAATAAAAAAAATTAAGGTAAATTATATTTAACCATGATATCTTTTTGTCTTCTCTCAAAGATCATACGCTTAAAGCCCGATAACGTATCAAGGTCGGTACATTATTTCGATCTCTTCTTTCTCTTGCTTTCTTCTCGCCCTCTCTTCTTCTCTAATATTGAACTTGAACACCCGAAGTTGTTCAACCATTGCCCGGTCGATATCGTTGTGAGAAGAAACAGCAACAGAGAATTTACTCGGGAGGAGGGGGGGGGGGGGTT